TTAATGTTTTCATTTTTTTTTAATTCAGCATTTTTTTCGTTCTTCAAAATTAAAAAACTTTTATTTTATTTTTTTACTTATTTATTTATTTGCTGCTTCAAGTTTCTTTTTTTTTTTACTTACAAACCATTTTATTTTAAACTAATTTATTCTTAAAGTTAAAAATTATTATTCTGTTTTATTTTTTAGAAATGATACGAAATCTGAGGTATTACAAAACTATAAATAGACAATAACAAGGGATGCAATGAAGAATTTTAATCAAAAAATAAATTATTAATAAAAATTTTTGAACTTCAAATAATCATTTAAATTTAAATCAAATTATGTAAAAAGAAATAAGTTTCTTCTTCTAACCAAATTCATGCCATCTTTTTTTGGTGTTACAACACCAATATCCATTGCTAAATAGCAAGCAATAAGTTCCTTTCGTGGTAATCCTTCTGTTTGAAAAATTAATGGTTTCCAATTAGGTCGAGTTGGACAGGTACATACTTTATTGATACCTTCAGCTAACAGAATACATTCATCTTGATAAACACGATAGGTATCAACAGCACGTCTATTTGTTACAGCAACCTAAATTTAAAATGATTGAAATTTTGAAATTTAATTTTTACCTTAAATCATAATCAGCCCCCTAATTTTTTACTATTTTCTTTTCGATATATTATTAAAATTTACCTTAATAATCTTAATTTCTTGAAGTCTTTTTTTTTTTTTTTTAAACCAAAATCTATTAAGAGGACAAAAATTCGTTCTAGGAAAATCCAAATTTGAAACTTAATTTTTACCCTAAATCATAATCATCTCGCAATTTTTCATCAATTTTTTTTCCAATATATTGCTAAATCTTAAATTTCAGAATTTTTTTTTTTAACTAAAATTTATTTAAAGAACAAAAATTCGTTCCGATTTGAAAAAGTAATGCACTAAAAAATTAATCCAACATGTAATGTTCCGGTTATACAACAATTATTTTTTGCATACCTGATACAATACATCTTTTCCAATTCGTTCCGGATATTTTTCAAAATAATTCTTATATGCCAATAATTTCTCTTTAATTCCTTTTGTATAATCGAATCGTTCAACAGAGAAAAATAATCGACCATCTGGTGGAGCATTTGATCCCATAATCTTTAGTAAATTTTCAAATATATTATCCTTTACTCATTCTCTCTCTCTCTCTCTCTCTTTTATAACATACAAAAAAATTTGCTAGACTAATAATTTCCGTATATTTGAAAAAAAATTCTTCAAAAGTAAACATTTAGGAAAAGAAAAAAAAAATTACAAAAAATATACTGTAGAAAAAACGTTTTTTTTTATATTCTAATCAAGATAAAAATTAATCATTACATGTTTTCGTATTTCTGATGCTCGTTGGCATGTTTCAGTTAATCGAATAAATTTTAAAAAGTCTTCATTTTTAATCGAAACCGGAAAAACTCCAAGTGAACAAGTCCATCCTTTGTATGTTACAAAGAATACATCACATGAGCTTTCATAATTAATTTCAGCACTTGGTAATTGAAGACGACATAATTCAACCAATTTATCACGATCACGATGAGTTTGAAATCCAACCTTAATAATAATTGTTATCATAGATAATCATAACAAAGAAAGGAGTAAAGTGTGTAAAATTGCTTAATAATTATGGAATAATAACTTTAATAGCATCTACATAAAACCTTTTACGACAAAAGACTAAATTTTTAAATTTAATTTTGTTGAATAAATTCGGAATAAATGCACCTTGCTAAATCGTAGTAAGCCTCGTAAAACGGCAAAACCAATTAGAGCATATTTAGTGAAAAAATTTTCCGGTGGTTGAAATGGTATATGCAGGAAGAAGCCAACCGGAAATAATTATTAATTGAATATATTAATATATGGAATAAAAATAAAACATTTAAAGTGAACAATAAAAATAATAAAAAGTGATAGAATGGATTAATTTTGATTAAAATATTATTTCGACAAAAAATTATATTTCTAACAAAAAAAAAAAAAAAATGCTTCAACTAATTTGATTAGCAATTTAGTAATTATAACAACCAAATATTTCTTACGTCAATTATACTCTATCAAAGACATATAAGTAAATCTATGTATTATTTAAATTAGAAAGAAAAAGAAATAAAAGAGAAGAAAAATGTTTACTTCGAGATTTTCATCCAAACTTTGCATAATCATTCCGGTTAACATCAAGTGATAATCATGGATCCAAATGAAATCCTAGAAATTTAAGTTTGAGAAAATAATTTTGCTAAATAATAAGGATTAAAAATTATTTGGTACTTAGTGATTGCAATTTATAATGACCGAATAAAAACTTGAGTATTTTATACTATTTCCGGTTTCGGTTTGATTATAGATTACGTAAAATATCACTCAGAAATTTTGATTGATTTTAAGAAAATGAATTTATTCAGAGAACAAATATTAAAAAAAAAACATCCACGATGATCACATTTTTTTTTTTAATTCAGTCGTTGTTAATAAATAATTTTCCAGTAACATTTGTTAATCCTTAATCATTTTCACATTTTTCGAGAAAAAAAAAGACAACGATAATTTTTAATTAAAATTAATATTTACATTTAAACAATTTTCTTTAGACAATTTGAAATTTTTAGTTGTTATGTAAATTTAAGAAATTTCATTTCAAAAGAAAAAAAAAGAAACTGCAAATTTATATTACAATATTTTTATAAATCATTATATGAGGGTTATTAAAAAGATAATTAAAAATGAATTTCGTAGGTACTACTATCAGCAATCTTTCTAAAAAATAATAAAACAAAAAGTTCAACAGATTAAATTTAAGAAAAAGAAATATGCTTTGTGAACAAATTAAATTGAAATTTTTTTTTTCCAAAATTTAGCAAACATATTAAACATTAGCTAATTCATTTAAGACTAATTTAACTAAATTCAATTTAATTACCATTAATTAAATACTTGTTCAGTACTTTTCATTTTTATTAAATTTTTCTTAAAAAATTTGATTAATTTATAATTTTATTAAGCATATACCTGCGGTCGACTATTTCGAACAGCATCGATAGCAAATTGATAATTTACTCGAACATATGCATACCAATGTTCACGCATAACCTTTAATAATTTCAATTTTTTGCTTTCATTTGAAAAGAACACTTTCAACAGTTTCATCTTTTTTTTTTTCATTTTCATTTAGAAATAAATAAAATTAATTTTTCAGTCTAATCAAAAATTTTTAAATTTAACCTTTAAAAAAAAGATTTATCATCAAAAAGAGAAGAAATTCAACCTAATTCTACGAGTTATTTATCATCTCTGCATGTAATTGCTTTTATAATATTAATCATTAAATAATTCCATAAATAAATATTACTTTAACTTTGACCCTAATGCAAAATTTTACATTTATATTATAAAATACCTTTGGTTCATCATATTCTTTTACAATAAATTCTTCCAAATTATGCAAAGCAGGCCATAATAAACCATTACTTATACCACCGTAGTATACGTTATAGTCATCTTCTTGCACAATTACAGGATTTAATTTGTAATTACCACGATTATAATTATGCAACACACCCAATAATGACATTTCTTCCCTCAAATATCATTCATCTTTTCATTTTTAACTTCTTCTTATTTAAGAATAAATCTTAATTACTATTACAATGAATTTTAATTAATAACCATTTACAAATTCTAATTAATAAACAGTCAAGAATAAATCTTTTAATCAATAACCATTCATCTTTTTAAATTCCTCTTATTTAAAAATAAATATTAATTAATATTGCTTATTTTACTTTAAAATTTTTACACTTTCAAGAAAATTTTATCATTGAAACAAGCTATTTTTTAATTATTATTTTGTAATTTATTTTATTTGATACATTTTTCCTTCATGCTTCTCATTCATTTGTATATTATTATTATTTTCTTTCACTTATTTTACCTTTTTTTTTTTCATCTTATAAAAATATAAATTTTTTTTTATTGCTTTTCTCAAATTTTAAATCAACTTCAATCTTAGAAATTATCCATCTTTTCGTTACCTGACATGTTGAGTATCTTGCTCTTTACTATTTCGCTCATCGGTGAGCACATGAAAAAGAACATCAGCATTTGCTTGTTTTAATAATGGTAATCCTATAAACATTTAATCTATTTCTAAAATTTACAAATTAGTTTTATTAGCCGAAATGAAATGATTTATTAAATAACATCAAACAATAAAGAAAAAAGAAAAACATTTGAATAAATTTGATCACAACCCTATTTCTATAATTTGCATCAAATTTACCTAGCGTATTTGTTGTTGGCTGAATATTCTGATTGCCATGATCTCTACTTTTTCTGTAAAATCATAAATTTTAAAATTGTGAAATGGAATTTTCATTTCTTCTATTTAAAAAAATGTTTATTATCATTTCAAATTTAAAATGCCAATTGTTATGCCTGGTTTTTTTTTTGCTTTATTCGGCCTTTTTTTTTAAAAAAAACAGCTCTAATGTTTCATTTCACTGCTAATAAATATTCTATTATTTTTGTCTTTTTATTTAATTTATTTAGTACATTTTATTTGGATTTTAGGAGAATATAAATGATCAAAATTGAAAAGTTAAAATCAAATGAAGAATGACCAGGACGAGTTATTTCTGTTCAACTTATATCAAGAATTTGAGATAAAATTTGAGGTTTTTATTAATATTATCTTACTTCTGCGCTCATAAATACATCAATTCAGTTCTATGAAAGAGACAAGTCATTATTTATTTATTGCATCGATGGTAGGATGGGATGAAAGAAAATCATTATAAAAATAAAACTTAAAGTAAGGCAAAATTTAAGTGTGATCTGAAATCTAATTTGACTTTAACAGTATTCACTCGCAATTAAATGTAAAAGTTTAACCGGTTCCTTATTTCTAGCAATTTAAAAGTTAAAATTTTACTAATCATGTCTAGAAAGCATTTGTAAAAAATTACTTACTTTGGTTTTTTATGTAAATTCATTCCAAGATTAGCAAGCCAAACATTTTCCTTATCTTTTGACATTACAGGATCTACTGCTGAAACTAGACCACCAGATCCTTGTTTAATTTCCCATTCACCTGTTTTTTCCCGTTTCAAGCTAACCGGTGGTGCATTAGAAACGTTGATTACACGTTGCTGAAAAATATTATATAAATTTGAAAATAGTGCACGAAATTAATGTATTACACAAAGAATAAGAAGTTCATATTGAACTGAAAGATGTTGAAAAAAATGATGAAATTTTCCTTCAAATTTCAAATGTAATACAAATTAAATAGTTAGATAAACAATGCCTTTTTTTCAGAGAACTTTTTAGTTTCTATTAGCTAGAAAACGACTTTTAAAAATAATACTTGAAAATGTGTGTTAGCCAAGCCTCCACTTGCAATTACTTCTTTTGACAGTTCTCGTGAATTTACGCTACTCTCTGATGCACCACGTGAAATTGATCGACGTGATCTTCGTGATTTTTCCGCTAAGAAATTTGCATTTACAGATTAATTTAAAAGAGTAGAAGAAATTTTTTTAAAAAAATAATAATGAATTTGAAATCAGTGAAAAAAGTAAGTTTTTCGGTCAAAGCAATATATAACCAAATAAATCAAAAATAACTGACGAAGAAAAAATCAAAAAAAAATAATTGATTGATTAATTAATCAAAGACTAACTGATCAAAATTTAAAATTAATGAACTGAAACAGCAAATTAACTAAAATGATGTTTAATAAAGCAATTAAATCAAAGAAAAAATCGCCGATGAATACATAAAAATGGAAAATAATATAATTGTAAGGAAGAATGAAATTTATAAGAAATATTTATAAAATTTTTCAGAAAAAAAACAAAAAAACAAAAACAAACTACGTGAGACAGTTCGTGAACGATAGGCAGCTAAGCTATTAGCACTTTTATTACTGGATTGAGAAGAGATTGACTCGGTGGAAGAAGAGATGCTCGATCGTGATGAACCTTCTCGACTAATACTTAATCGTCGTTGCAAATGATGGAATCGTTCACCAAAACGTTTTGCATGAACGCCAAGTAAAGATTTACGAACACCTGGCACTGAAGTGTATAGCTCCCTGAAAATGATAGGTAAGTGCAATTTTAGGAAATTACAAAAATGATGGAAAAATGATAAAGATGGTAGAATAGAAGTAGCAAGCAAGATTCGGTCATTATTATGATTAGATTAACATTATAAATTATAATTAGTAACAAAGATTCATAACAATGATAATTATTAGTAGTAATAAAAAATAATAGTTGATAATAAATGAATAATAATAATTAATAATGATTATAACATTATAAGTAATTTCGAAATTTGAAAAGTTTTAGATGAGATGATGTAAACATGAAGTCAAAGTTGCACCCATATAATTATCAAGTTTACCTAACATACAAAACTATTACTAAAATTATTTATATTTATTTCATTGTAAAAATTTTTTATTAGTAAAGAGTTGAATTTGGCAAACCTGAGTTTACTTTTTCCATTATTAATATCATATAGCGTTAAGCCAAACAACAGTGAATCACGAAATTTGGTACCGTAAGTTAAATCGGAATCATAAATGTACGGTACTGCATAACGCCAAAACTGTACTGCATTATAACCAAGAGCATTGATGAATTGCTCAAAGGATGAATAACCTGCTGCTGAACGATTGAGGCAGTATTCAAGTATTGTTAGTAAACCCTGGAAAGCAAGTATAATTTATTTCATTTTCAAATTTAATGGATCAAATTTATTACCTGAAAAGCAATTTCAGAATCAGCATCTTTCCGTCGCCAAGTTTGTGCCAGAACTTCAAGACCCACATCTACCATTTGTCCAATATCCGCTTCATCAATCGTATAACCCAAGGCTTTCAATGTATGTAACAAACTCTGCAAAAGCATCATATCATTGTTTATCGTCAAGCCAATATTTTTAAGATTAAGCCAGAATATTAGATCTTCACGCAGATTAATCTATCGGTGTGATAAATGGAATAATTTAATCTATAATATAGCATTTCAGAATTCTTTTTGGAAAAGTCGTCTACATATACAGTAGGATCACAATATACAGTAAGCTACATCAATGGGATACTGTAATACCGTGATTTTTGCACTTTTATAAAAATTTATATTTCTTTTATTTATGGATAAACTGTCTGGTTTATTAGCATTTCTTGAAAATTTTAATAAGTCATATTTATTTACAACAATTAATAAAATAGTTTTATTCTTCTGAAATTTTTTAATTTAAAAAAAAAAGAAAAACTAACTTTGATTTTATGATTTCAAATTTGAAGAAAATATGAGATGCTTACACGTTTCATATGCATTTCACTGAATTTGGCAGATCCTTGAGTTTTACGATGAAAAGGTTGGTCGAACAGTTTTTCGAGCAATTGTTCCACTTTCTCTTCATCATTTTCTGAATTATTCGCAGATATATTTTGTTATGCAAAGTTAACTACACAATAAAAGTTAAAGGTTAAAAGAAGTACAACAGTTCACTCATATTAGTTAAATTAATAATTAGCAAAAACATGAAATTGTACTGTAGTCTTCAAAATAATACTGTTATATAGAATTTATCTTACCATTCATGTTCTCCGATTGCCTATGATTATCATAACTATCATTAGCCATTTTCAATCTGAAATTAAATATAATAAATAAAAATCATAAATAGCATACGAAATCTCTTAACGTTTATCAAATTGAAATTAATAGATAAATTGAATTTAATTTAAGTTAAATTAATTATTCGTATATACGATAAAGTTATACATTAACATACTGTATTCGCGGAATCTTTATATTTCTTATTTCCAAAGATTCGTTTTCTTTTACAACATATGTAAAATAATACTCCGGTTCATGAATAAATTCAGTGAAAGATTAAAATTAAACCAGATCAATGAAAGTAAATAAAATAATGAAAAGTTAGATCAGATATATTTGATGTTGAGAAAACTTTAACAAATTCTAATTGAATTCGAGAAAAATAATATTTGAATATTTAAACAGTAAGCTTATATCCCCATTAATTGAAAGTATATTTTGAGAGTTTTTTTGTGTTAAATATATAATTGCTTAGTTTAAAAAACTTTCAAACTTTGCGCAATTTCTACTAACCAAAAAAAGATTACCTAATCAATCAATGAAAAGAAAGTAACTCAAAACTTCAATCTTTATTGGAAAAATTAGAAAGAGCAAGAAAAATAAAAATGTGTCCAAATAAAACCGCTTTTAATGATTTAAAAAAAAAAAAACTTCTTTTTTAATTTATGCGATATTATCGGATTACGGAAACAAAAAAAGAAAATATTTCTCTAATTTTCCCATATATATATTTTTTTTCTTATTTTTATCTTATAATTCATTTTTTTTTTTTTATTTTTGTTTCACGAAAAAATTTTTTTGTTATTTTAAAACTTTGGCAGAAAACTTTCATTTATCCATGGTAGAAAAGAAATATATCAAATCCCCTCAACCATTTGTCCAATTTTTCCATTATTTTCTTTTAGTCTAACATCAAACAATTTTTTCGCTCCCAATTGCACGAATATCAGAAAAACGAAGTACAACAACAAATTATTATACTGCTATATTACTTTTTTTTTTTTTTGCTAATATAAAAAAAAATCATTATTATATCAACAAAACATTACATGCAGTAATAGCAATAATAGAAATAATAATAATAAATGAAAATAATAAAATGGTTCAAATAATAACTTCGTTGATTAGAAAATATTATATAAAACTGAAGTTTTCGCTTGATAATATCTAACAGTGTGAAACCAATGAGAATATTAATAATATAAGTTCAAAGTAATCCAAAACTTATCCAAAAAAAATTCCCTCAAAAAAAAAAAAAAAAAAAAAAAGAAGACTAAACAGAAAAGCGGTAGGAATGGAGCAGAAATCAAACATTGATATTAATCGTTTCAAAACAATTTTACAAATGATTAAGAAGGCAGCTAAGTGAGTAAGCAAAGAAGGTAAACAAAGTGATCAGTGAAAATAAATTAGCTAAGTTAATGATAAAACGCTTGAAAATGTTATGAAGAATAGTTAAATGAAAGAATAAGACGTATAAATATTAAAGTTAATGAAAAAAAATTGAATGCATAAAGCAAATGAAGTAATTAACATAATGAGTGAGCTGGGAAAAGCTTAATAGAATAAGCAGGGAGGTAATTATTTATTAATTAGAAAGAGTTAAAAATCAGTAAATAACATTTTCAATCAAATTTCAGCAACAATTTAAAATCATAGAAAGTTTGAATATTTTAACATAATAATTGGTTAAGCAAATCTCTAATGGCTAACTATAAAGAAATGATTATAATTTTGTGTTTAGAATTAGGAATTAATAATCATTTTTTTTTCAACATTTCACGGAGAAAAGTTTAATTGAAAATTTTCCTTTTTAGCAAAAAAAAAAAAAAAAAAAAATATTATTCCCTGCAATAACACACGAAGAATGGAATATCGAAAAGCTTATGAGTTAGCAAATCTTTAATTAATTTTTTAAACTATTTATTACAAGTTCAAAATATGAACAATCAAAAGCTTGCAAAGTTAAATTTTAAAGTTATTGAAAATTGTATAGTGCTAAAAGTAAATTTAGTATTAAAAAGAAAGGAAAAAATTAATATAAACAGGAAGTGAATAAGACTAAGAAAAAAAGGAAAAAAAAAAAAAGAATAAATTTATGATTCCTTAACGGATCAAAGTTCGTCTTGAAATAAACTTTTAACTTTGACGATGTTGTTAATAACGATGAATCAATTCATCTAATCACATTTCACTCTTTTTTCTTTCCATCTTTGCTGCTTGATTTAACATATATTTCTTTCATTTTAAACTTTCATTAAACAACAAACAGATAGCAAAGAAAGATAAGAAAGAATGAAAAAAGAAGAGGGAAGCAGGCTGAAATAGGATCAAAATAAATGAATGATGGATTTAACAATATATTAGCACTGATCATAATTGTTGCATCATTCCAGTAAGCCTTTTATAATAACAAGTTTAAAATTGATAAACATATATTGTTAAACAATGTTGCTTAAATAATATAAAATTTCAATTAAAAAAAAAAAAAAACTCGTTAAGAAAAGTATAAAATTTATATACTTTATCAAAAAGATAAATTGTAAATGTTAAAAATTAATTAATTAAACTTATACTAAAATAAAATGCCTATTGAATTAAATGCTAAAAAAAAAAAATTAAGCAATAGTTTAAATAACTCTCTAATTGTAAATAATAATAATTGCATTAGCTGTTCCTAACAGAAGAAAAAAAAGATAAATAAATGATAGTGAAATGTTTAATTGTTACTTATAAGAGAAAATGAATGAAAATGAAGGTATTAATAGCTAAACCAAAGTTAATAAACAGTTACTGACCAACTGACGCAATAATAGATGCAACCAACTGTTTGACAAACGATTGCAATCGGTTGAATTCAAGGAAAATTAACGATTAAAGCAACCACTTTTTACAAAATATATAAAATGAACTGACATTGAAGCTATTACTTCCATTTATATGATAATAATTAATTTTGTTTTTAAATGAATTGAAATTTTAAATCGTTTTATGATAAAAAAGAAAATAATGTGATATTAAAATTTATGATACAAACGGAAAATAATTTTAATTAAAATATTTTATTGATTTTGAGGAAAAATTAAATTTCTGACAGTAAAAGAACATAAATGTATTGAGGAATAAAAAATTTTTAAATTTACATAACTGACAGAACAATCAAATGTTATATTTATAGCAAATAATGAACGTAACTATATAAATATTAAATTAAAAAAAAAAAAAATATTTTCGATATGATTTACAAAATTTCTAAAACAAAGGTTTTTCTTAAAAAAAAGTTATGCGTCTTTATGAAAAGTAAACTTTTTTTTAATTGCTTAAAAATATCATAATTTTTTTAATACCTACGAAAGAAAGGAAAAAAACAGTAACCTGGAGACTAAAAACTATATCAATTTTGATTCTTAAAAGTTAAAACTGAGCTGTATATGAGTTTAAGAAAGAACAAGAAGCCCCAGGCTTTTTCACCACTTAAATGTATCTTAAGCAAAAATAAGTCTAATTCCCTTGCTAATTAAATTGCTTCAGCACAGTGATATTTTGCCAAAGATTTATGAACAGAAATAAAAAGAAATGATTGAAGGAAAAAAAAAAGTCACTTCAATGATGAAACTTTTTGCCATTAGGCCTAAAAAATATGTCAAAGGTAATTCCACAACGAAACTTTTTCCTACTAGGTCAATAAATATACAAATTATTCTAGAATGAGACATTCTATCATTACGAACAGTAAATTTTGCATGCAATTATCCTACAATAAAAGACAAATTTCAAAAATGCTGAATTTTATTCATTGGTTATTTTTTTTGTTTTTTTGTTTTAAAGACAAGAAATGAAACATATGCATAGGCCTAGTGATACATACACTAATGTATAATTTAGAATATGCTCGTTATAAAAATGTTAAGCATAAAATATTGAATAAATGAGAATATAATTACTTCTCTATATTCATTTCAAAATCAAAAAAATTTATTATTGTAAGATATTACAATATAAATAAATTTTGAAAATTTTAAGGAAAAATTAAGTTATTTATTCATTAAGTTATTCAATATAAATTACAATTCTATCACATATTTCTATCATACAAGAAATAACATATATATTTTTCATGTACAAAATCATACATTTTTATGCTGATACTTTCACGTCCATTAACAAATTATTTACAATTTAAAATTCATTTAAGATTAACCTAAAATATTACATCAAGTATTTATGATTAGTGGTTAAAAATGATTTACTAAAAGAATATTTGTAAAGATAATTCAATTAAAATCAATTCAAACATTCTTAATTTAGTAAAGAAAATAAATTTTATCAAACTACAGTTGGTTAGTTCAATATAACAAAGTGAAATGTCTTGATAATCTGAATGGAAAAGACAAATTTATGATAACAAACATTCTCGAAAAATTAATTTGTTTTCAAAGACGCATCAGCTGCTTGTGCAAGTATAATTTGTTGGTATCTCGCAATCACCGCCAATTATATTTTACAACGTATGCTTACCTATTCTTTCTCTTTTATATATTTAACAAAAATGAAATGAAATTCTATCAAATTTTTCATTGCAATAAAATAACATAAATAATTTGCAACAATGTTAAATGACTTGAAAAAATTAAGTGATTTTTTTTTTTCATTTTTCTTTAACAACTTCTGCTTCAATTAATTATCAAAATTGAGGAATGTTACTAGATAGAAATTAGTCAGAAGTTTTGAATGAATTGCTTTAAAAAAATGTTAAAAACACTACATACGAAAATATAAAAGTTATCCAAGTTAAGCAAGAAATCTAAGTTATCACTGCTCTGAAATATTTATATAAATACATGCTAGATAATAAGTTGTGAAATAAGATGTTATATTTCAAACTTTCATTCGCAAGGCAACATGAATAGCAATTATACGATTAAAAAAAAATCTAATTTGGAAAAACGAACTAAATGAATTTGAAAATCTGACCCAACCTATCATACAGCTTCTAGCATTTATCAATTACTCGCAAAAGTTCCTTTTAAATATAAATCCAATAGTTGAAATTTACTTGCATAGAAAACACTGTTGAATTTCTTTCAATACACAGGAAGCAACAGCAGTAACATATTGAAATATTAACCGATGCTTAGCAACTTGCTACTAGTGATATTAAGAACTATTACGAGAACAATTCAATATACAAACCTTAGCACATAAATCGCAAACAAATAAAGCTCCTATTGTAGCCTCTTCATGGTTATCCTGTATATCAATGTTGATGACATGGACACTGTCCCCTTCATTTGTGTCGCGCGTCTGTAAATCTTCCACTATCTAAAGACAAAACACTTTTTTAGCTTACATAAATAAGTATACAAATATTAATCCAACAAACTATCAAAACTAATTAACAGAATAGCTTACAGTGCAATCTACATCAATGTTGACCTTTCGAAAGGAATTCATAAGACACAGATGGCCCAACACAATTCATCGCCTAGCTAAACTGTCGCAATAAACTATCTTAATCTTCGTTATCCGCTATGCCACATCCTTCTCAATTTCCAGCTCAAATAAAACTCTAATTTTTGCTATCATTCATTGCAAGCTGGTCATCAGCAATGAAAACAATGAAAACAAATTTCACCTGATCATATACTCTTTCCTCCAAGCATATAATCACATCAAATTTCCCACTGAAATGTTGAAACTTCTGTGGCATATCCTTTATTCTACGATTACGATCTAACATATTCAACAAACCATTCTGCGTATATCTGAAAATATTCGCAAAGCATAGCAAAATCAAAAGGACAGAGCAAAATAGAGAACAGAACTGTACTTACAGTTGAGGGTCTTTTTGTTTCAAGTCATTGTATATGAAATCATATGTGGCCACACCAAAATCATAGCAATTTGGCCAAACCGGTGTTGGCCTTGGTAATTTGACTTGACTTCCTGAACCAAATGATTCTACACTGAAACCTCTCTTCCTGAAAATGAAAAACGTTGAGATATCATAATTTCATATAAGTCATTCTTCCCTTCGGTGTGTCATTGTGATGGTCGTCGTAAAAGTACAACCCTAACGACACTCTTTGTCTTGTTCTATGGCATTCTTTATTACTTTATTATTATTTTTTGTTACTTTATTTCTTCATTACTTTTTTATTTAATATTCCCAATTATATCAAAGTATCAAAAGGGAATTTGAACATCGATATTTTAATGTGCTAAACAAATTAATATCTATAGTTTGATAGTGAAATTGAGTTTTTAACCTTTTTATTATCAGCAGTGGGAAATTAAAAATTTTTATGAATCTTTGTAGAAAATGAGAATGGCAGTAAATTTTGATTTAATTTGATTTACAATTTTATAATTCCCTCTTTTATCTCTCACTTTACTGTTTTTATGCATTTGCAAATTTTTATTGAATTAATTCCATGTGTATTTATGGATAATACTAAAGTTAATGAAATAATAAAGATTTTAGCAGATGAGTAAAATAGATGAAATATTGCTATGTTAGTGCAATTTGATCAATAGATTTTTTTAATTTTATATGTCATAACTTTATTATTTGCTAATTTTTTTTCGTTCCATGTTTGCTAACTTTTTCTTATAACTTTATTCATTGTTTGCTTCTTTCATTTCGTTTCATTTACCATATGCTTTTTAGTTGCTTTTTGTTATTCATCTGTTTTTGCCAATTTCATTTTCTAATTTGCCACTCTTTTTATAATTTTACTAGTTGTATGTCTCTTTTACTTGATATGTGTTTTTGAGTAAATTTCACTTTTTGACTTATTTTCTATTTAATTTTACTTATTAGCTATCTCTTAAACTCGCACTAATCTTTATTTATTAAACGAATATACAAAATTATAAATTCTTTTTTTTTTTGTTAATTCCGTTAATTATTCTATTAATTTTATGCTTTCACCAGTTATTTTCTGTCAATTTCTTTTCTGCAATTTTTTTTTATTGATTCACTAATTTTAATTTCATTATATTTTCTTTTTTTCTTTTTCTTTTTTTATTATTTTTACCTTTTTTATGTTAATTTTTTATGTTAAAACCCAACAATTCTTTGTACACATTTTTCTCTTTTTTTTTTTTTTTTTAGCTTGTTCTTTGTATACATTTTATTTCATTTTTCTTACCTCCCATATACATTTTTATAGTATTCTTACTGATTTATTGCATGCGTTTTTTTTTTTCTTCTTTTTGGATTTTATGATTGTTTTGTTGTTACATTTGATTAATTGCATGTTGTGTTAATTTTAATTTTCACTTCTTCACTTGTTAGTTAATAAATTATTACTTTTTTTGTTACTTTTATATCTTCCATTTTTCTCCTTTTTGTCCATGTTTGCTAATTTTTTCTTGTAACTTTGCAAATAATTTTTTAAATTCTAATTTAAGATTTTGATTATTCCTATCGTTATTTCTACTTAATTTCTGTCTGCTTACTTTTTTTATCCCATACACTTCTATCATTTGTAAGAAAATTATATTTACTTATTACATATAAGTCTGTGTTAACTAAGAAAGACATTGGTAGTAGCAATTTATAATTGAAATAATAAGCTATAAATCATACTAATTTTTTAATAACAAAGAAGGTAATAAAAAAGTAAAAAGAAATAATTTATTAAGTTATTAATATTAATAAGTTATTATAGAAATGAAGAATTATTAATAAGTTGTTATAAAAATGAAAAATAAAGTTGATAAAAATACTCAATTAGTTCTAGAAAATCCAAAAGATTGAAATGAATAATATGTGAATACTATATGCTAATATATTTTACTGTATAATAATAAATTAATTATGATAGGCAATTATTAATTAAAGCTAGTAATGCATTAAAATGATAAACTGAATAATTGATTTGATATGCTAATAGTTCAATGTGTTCCCTTCACATTTTGCAAAATCAATTTAAATAATCAAAAATCAAAGGATTAATGGTTTAAAATGCTTTACAGAATTTATCATTATTCTTTTTGAGAATAACTTTTCTTAAGTAAATAACTTTAGTCATCTATTCATAAATCTGCTACTGTAAAAACTTATATGCTATTCTGACATGGTTTAAATTTATAGTAACGGTTGTCATCTTGTTATGACCTCTTACTATGATCTCTCTTATCAGTGAAAGACAAATCATTTCCTCCTACTTTTTCACTTTTCTTATTTCAACCTATCGAATGAAGCATATTGTTTTCTGTTCCTATTTCTGCAATAATCAATTTCTATTTGACTCGATAATTTCCTTATCAGTCATTTTTCCATTTATTCATTTTCTATCGATAAGAAACTTTGATTTTTGATTTTTCTAGTGATTAATTAGTTGATGGTAAAGACTTGATAAGAAAAAGAAAAATATCGTACTGGTATGGCCTTATTTCAATATACCATTTCATCACTTACCTAAATTAATTTTGTTTTATCAGTTAGTTCCATATCGAAAACAACTTGTAACCCAAATAAAACACAAATCCTACGTACGTTAACAAAGACGGCAACACTGTTGTCTCCCGTCTCTCTCATTGACGTGTGTTAGAATCTCTGCAACCTTTCTTTTGAGATTGCAGTAGTTACTGGCGAGTTCACTGCATACTGTCTCTGATCCAAGTGACATGTCCTCAATATTGGTGACCTTACCTGCCCGAGAATAGTGACATTAGTCACGTAGTCACTGCAGAGAATATTTGGAATGTTGCGGAGACGACGCTAATTAAACCATTCAAGGAATTTCAGACCCATATAAAAGAGTAGGCAACATAATGGCTCTCCCACCCACCACTTTTTCGTATTTTGCTTCGTGTAACTTTCCGTACTCTTTTAATGAGTTTTTTGAATACTCTGCATGTCTTTGCTTATCTGTTATCCATCTCTTTATCATTCGATTGTCCACCTCTTTATCAATCTATCCTCTATCTCTCTGTCACTCTGTTATCTGTCCTGTCGGAATTGATGTTTCGAAATAATCGAATCGTTAGATTCTGTTTCGATTCGACTGTGTTCATGTGAAGATCAGAGCTTATGTCGTTTTGAAGTTAACTTTCAACCGGAAAATGCGGCAGTCTCTGAACTTGCAAAGAGTATACCTAGACAAAGTGATTTAAGGTTTATGTGTAGGCTTTTAATCGCACGAGGCTATCGCTTATTCTCAGTCCCTTTATCGAGATCTGTCATAGACTTTTACAAAATATCATGTTTGAGGTACTCCTATTAACGTTGAAATCAAATTGACTTTCAGGTAATTCTATAGTAACGGTATTATTTCGTTTGGAAATACTCTTCCGATAATTTCCCAGCAATGGAGAACAAAGTTATTCTTCGATAGAGCACTTTGACTTTTGTTCTTTCTCCCTTATGCAAAGCTGATGACTGCATCTTGCTCTTTGGTCCGACAGTTTCTCCGTAGCAGGAAGAGTGACGAAATGCTGAACCTTTCATTCTACTGTTGGCATTAAAGAGAAACTAATAGTGTTCGACATCGATCGGTTCAGGACGAACGTTATCTGTGAGAGGCATTTAACCCATCTGCGCCGGGTAGGGAACTTTGAGCGTAGTGCAGCACAGTGCATAAATTGCTGTCAGAGCTCCGTAGAATTTCTTATAGTAATTGCAGTGTTCGTGTAATTGAATCTATTTTGCTGGATTGCTCATCACTTGTTCTAGATGTCTCGAGTAATGGAATTTACTGTATGCAACACTGCTTTCCTTACATGGGCGGCAAGATGTCTCAGTGAGATATCCAATGAATGGCTGTTTCTCTTATTTGTATGACATTCTGTGCCGTGCACTGCTCGAACATGAGATGACAATGAGGATGTACTCAGGTTGTCTTCAAGCTGTCCTTCTGTTGGAAAGTTACCTCGCACAGAACCAGCATCCCTATTTAGTACTTTCCAGCCTTTCAATCCTTCCCTATTCTGAGTCATTAATAATTATGTTTTTGTCATCTGTAAGAACATTTGGGTGAGGCAACGTAGCAGGTTGGTGCATATATTCTGAGGAGTAAAGTGTGTTGCTTCTTAAGCAACACACTTTACTATGAGGAGATAATGTAAGGAGATAATGTGATCGGAATTGGAATCCTGTCAGCAAATTTTAAATTTGGAACCGATGTCATGAAATAAATTACTGAGTGCTAGCCTTCTGTTTTCAGATCGCCCAACCAACAGAGTGTATAAATTAGTTCATAAGTGCAATAGTCATGACAGTTCGCGAACAATTAGAGCAGAACGACGTACAGGTTGTCCAAACACCAACGTAATTCAACATGCGGATTTTGACCTGAATACACTTTTGAAAACAAATGTATGCTTTTCTTTCTTTACTTCTCCCACTGATTTCATGGAAGCTGACAGTTCACAATCCGTTCCACTAAATTTTTCGAACTCAAAACGAAGAACCTAATGACAACATAATCAACCACTGGTTTAAATGCAGCAGGTGTAGTTGATACACAATTGTTGCGTATTTCATCAAGTAAATAGTCAACAACAAGTTTAGTTGCAACTTTTGCTATGGGATACTTGTTTCCTTTGAAGCAAGCGCAGAAGAGCGGGAAACTTTGGATTCATTTTACAAAGCTGTAAAAAAAAAAAAAACAAAAGATATAAGCCAGTAAGGGGACTTGCTTCTGCATAAAAAAAAATAAATTAATCGATCAGATCAAGACTGCTGGAGTTACTATTGTGCCACTTTCAATTTATTTTAATGACAAGGGATTAGTAAAAACTAGAAAAAAACGCATCAGAAAATGTCCATTAGCTGCAGCTACTAACCGGATAAAAGGTAGCGATAAACTTGGTTAGACGTCTTGTATGTGCAGCAATTACTGGTGTCCTTGAATAAGGCTGTTTGATCATTTAGGATTTTGTTGTACTGTTATCTCTCCTAGACTAATTTCGAGATTCGACGGACCGATCCTGAAACAGCTAATCCTATAGGATTGGGTCTGCAGTTTCGTGCTTTACGTATAACTCTAAGGCTTTTCATATCTCTCTAGAATCTCACTTTCTTGTAGAGATGGCCTTACAGGCTGAAAGAATTTTCAATGCCCGAATTTAGAATTAGAGTCGTTAATAAGACATACACTTTTTTCTAACCGTTCGGTTGAGACATCTCTGGCATGGGGATCTTACACTTCTACCAGCATAGCTTTTAAAAAAAAAAGTACGGACATACCACCACAACAGCGCTTGCGTGGAACAGTTTGAATTGCCGCAGTAAGGATGAATCAAAGTATTTTTGGAGAAGTAAACAAGTTTTAAAATTGAACAAATTAAGTAAAGAAAGCTTTTATATAAATGATTATTATTATTTGATTGAAGTTACTGACTGAACAGCCAAATTTGTTTTTCATATTTTCAAAAATATGAAAATGTTATACGTCAAGACCAATCATTCGTAAATAGTGTTTTACAATATTTCGTTATTGATTTCCGTTAATTGGTAGTTAAATTTTATTGCAGTTTTCTGATTTTCGAACTTATGTTAGGGATTCTTCGGAATGATATCTATGCAATCAAAAGACCTCCCAGAATAGTCTTTGTTAAGAAAAAATACTTAATGGCAAAATTTATTATAGTGATCAGAATCAGTGAACTAATCTTATTGAATTAGAAAACGGTGTGATTTGTTCGTGTTACAAAACCAACAGTTACGACTGATTGGACCTGTTTCTCTCCATAGAATATGCATTTAAAATATCGAATTACAACACGCTGAAAATCTTTTTGACGACACAAAAATAATGTCACCAAATTGAAGGAATTCAGTAGACGTGTGTAAACGCAAACCATCACAATGACATGCGACGCTGCAGAAGGATCTGCTTCGCAAATATGTTCTATTATTGCTGATACCACCACAAGAACTATAAAGATGAAATTAACGAAATAAGTAATAAAAGCAGGTTTTACATATAAAATTCACTACATTCCTTGCTATGTAAAAGGTTCAAGTATAACTTCCCGTAATTTCTCGGTTACCCGGGAGTTGAAGAAATCATAAGTTAAAGTTGTCGCCTAAAATCAGAAAGAATAGCAATGTTTCGTTATTACTGAAAGTACTTAGCCTTCATCAGAACTGTTCATAGAAATCCGCGTAGCAACGTACAAAATGTGAAACAGCAAGAGATCAGTGATGTTTGAGTGTATCGCTTTTGATTTTTGAGAAAATGTGACAAATTGCGATTATGCGAATTGCTTGAAAGGTACTGCGCACCGAAATTCCTAAAAGTGATAGTGAGTCATTCATATTTTGAATTGATTTATTGACGTTTGCTACCTGACGTAAACAGCGTAAAGAGGAAGCAGTTTGATGTGTTATACATTCCCCGAAAGATATATGCAATAATTCTGTTATCGTGTGCTTCTTTGATTTACTTTGCAGTTTTGTCGCTTCAGTTAGCACTCAGTAATAATTTAGTGGTAATTCCGCTGAATGAATAGTAATTAATTTAGAATAATTCTACTGAATGAATAATTGAATTCTGACACATAAAGCAAAGGAATGGAGCAATAGACTGTATCACTCAATGATAGCACAATTTCATTTCTACGATTAGAAATATTTCAAAAGCCATACCTTCTCAGGATAACAACCACAATAATCATAAGAACAACACTCGTCATTGAAGCGGAAGAGGACAATAGTAGTAATGCTTCGTAAAAGCGTGGTGAATACGCAAATTGTAGCCTGCAAGGGTTGTGTCTTGTCATGGATTTCGAAGGAATCATTTAATAACATTAGAATCCGATTTCAACACTGGTATTTGTCCTATGCTGAAAAGTGTCTCATTAGATAAATACAGTGACAAAAGATACTATAAGAATCAAATGTCACCTACATACAAAAATTAGATATGCGCCGAGCTGGTTCAATCAAACTTGCGGTGACAGCAGTAGTTATCGCGGTAGCAGTAATTCCGTAGTGTGCGGCAATAACTGAATGAGTTATTCGTGTATTGTGAGTATAATAATATATTGGAAATGCTACGACGAAAAGTCTTTCTACGCTGTTCATCAGCAGACTCCATCCACTCAGAAATTCCGCTGTGAAAAGAAAGATTGGCACCTGAAATTTTAATTGTTGTCGACGGTTATAATACAGTTATTACCTGTTCGGAATGCTTAATCCGTCCCCGTTATGTCCAGTGGACTTATAAGGCTTTTTTGTGTTTTTCGTTAAATTTTATTATTTATTTTGCAATACCTTAACTTAATTTCCTAATAACAGTGAAAGCCAACGATTTTCATTGTGTTTTTCAAAAAAAGAAACGAACATTTAGCACACATTCGTGATGATTGATAATCCGTTCTCCACCAGCGGTATCGATGAGTCGCTTTACTCCCAGTAATATGGAACTGATCCCGAGAAATCCACTGTTAAGGAATACAATTCCAAGAACTAAGTATGAATTCCTAAATACTTCAATTTGTCCATATGATATTTGCGTATTATTTTGAGTGATCGAAATGATAACTTGAAATGTTTTTGTTTCATTTGTAATAAATTTTCTAATGAAACTATTCATCAAACTACGATCTGTTTATTTTCCACTATTCTATTTTCACAATATTTTGATAAGATAAATCGATAAATCGGTTGACCTGAGTGCTTTACGAGTTATCACAAGCAGAGAGACGGGAATGTTGATCACTATGAGCACCGTACCGACAATTAAATATGCGTACGTACGTAAAAAATAATCGACAAATGGTATTAACTTTTTTTTGTTCACGGTAATATTCACATTTTCAATTATCGTCTGATTAATAGCAAAATCCATTGATATGCATATAAATATAAAATGAGGTGCAAATAGTTTTTAAAATAAATGACAAAATTAGCACAATTGTTTTTTCCTGCAAAATTATAATATCAATCTCAATAATACCAAATATTATTGAGAATACATAGTTTGATAAAAAAAAAAATTTTTCCCAGAAAATTTGTTAAAGCTTTTTTTTCTAAAGTCTTATATTTATTTGAAGTTAGCGAATATTTGTTATTAAAATGATTTTAGTACAAAGCATTAAAAATGTTATGCATAGTATTTTTATATACAGTAAAAATTAAAAGATATGTAGTTTTTGGTTTATTTCAAAATTTACCATTACATTTTCACAAAATTATAAAACAAACATTTGAATTTAAAATAAAACAGAAAGAGAGAAAAAAAAAATACTAGCTTAAATTCTATGATTTCTTAATTCGAAATAAATTTGAACAGTATTGTACTGAAGATAAGTTTGTTTGCCAAGACATGAATAATATGAAGTAAATGAAGTGAAAATTTATATTAAAAAATTCTATAAAATTTGTTGTTTTATAAACTTTGAGGTTTTGGATACTTTATAGATATTTTATGTCTGCAACGATAAATATCTTCATTAAGTTCTTAAACTAATAATTGCTTGTTTAGCAAAAAAAAAAGAAAAAATATGAATGCTAAGTGGCTACTTCAATGCACACATTTAAGGCTAATAAAAAATATTTACGCTTATTTGTACTGCACGAATTGTCTTTATGAATAAAATTTTTAAATGATATGAACAAAAATTTTCTCATTTAAACGAAACTTTACGTGTTTTCACTAAATATTTACTTTAAAAGAAAAGGAAAAAAAAGTCGGATTAGGTTCTATTTATTTGTTTTTTTTTTTGAATTTACTTTAACAAACTTTTTTGTAAGAAATTATTGTATTTATTATTGTTTTTGATTGATAAATGTTAATAGATATTAGCAAAATTGAATTCATTAATAAAGATGCAAGTGATATGATAAATTTATGTAAAACTATTGAAAGAGAGTTTATTTCTGAATTAATTTATATTTCCTATTTAAATATAATTCCTATTTTAATTGTATGGATTAGATAACTTATATTTCCTATTCAAATATATTTCGTACTTTAGATTTATGAATGTATTTGTGTTTAAACAATCATGATATTTTTATAAAAAGTTTCATATAAATTACACGAACTATTAGTGATTAGGCTTATCCTTATCTTACCATAGTCGAATTGCATGACATACTCACTCATTTAATTACATTCCAATATTAAATTCAATTTTCAAACGAAATGTGTGAATTCCATAAATTTAAACAATTGTGTTCTTTTTTTCACAGACAAGTATTCAGATATATACTTAGTATTCAAATATAAATATATGATTTGTAGTGATTAAGTTTTTTTCCACTCGAATTTTCAAATCTATCTCATCCATATTTTTTCAGCTATTCTTAAACATTATCTTCCTTTGAAAAAACAGATTAAGAAATGAAAATACAATTTAATTCATTTCGATAATATATTCCTCTTGTAATGTTTCATTCTTTCAGATTTTTATATACAAATCGAAAAAAGGTTAAATTCTTTTACTCATTTGCTTATATTTAATTTCATTTCAATTTCCTTTTTTTGTATAATTTGTTCGGTTCAATAAATTGAATGCATTATAAAGTAATAACATCCAATCAGATTATCAAATCATTTAAAATTAGCTAAATACGTTATTAATGTTTTCCTTCATCGAAAGCATAATTATAAAAGATGGAAATATTCATATTTTAACAATTAAAGTGTTAAAATATTTCCATCTATTTTCATCATCGTCGATTAGTTAATAACTGAATTATGATTCAAAATGTGTTAGTGGTAAAATTTGAAATTCGATTTTCAGATATGAAGCAATGCTTTCTAATATAAAGTAGCAAACCTGCACCAAATAAACAAGATTTCTTGCTAAAGTTGGAAAAATATAGTTCTGTATTTTAAAATACTTTAACAAAGAACCCATACATATGTGTATGCTATTTTGCAAACAAAAATAATATCGTATAGATGGAGCAGTTTTAAACTGGGCATGTCACATGAACACAAAACAAAACGTAGTAATTGAATGAAACTCAGAAAAAAGTTAGCAAACATTGTTTGAAGCGTGGATTTTGGTTTGCTGATTTCTTATTGAAGAAGGAGGGAAAGTTTGTGTAAAATTTGTCTATTAAAAAAATTAGCATCTTCATCTGATTATTAAGTGAATAAACTTTATAGAAATGTTAGTTTCATGCCAGATAAACATGAAGCACAATTTCACTATCGAACGATGTCATTTTCTTCTCCAAATATTTGAAAAACTATTTATTAACATTTTCATGCATTTTTCTGGACTTATGCTAAAAAAGGATGTGAAATTTTCTGGAACATAGTCATCAAATTCATTCTTCCTCTTTTTTTTTTCTTTTTTTTTTAAATCTAATATATGTACAAATAAGAACACTTTTGACAAGTTCAAAACAATCCTGCTTTTTTGAATCCATGACTGATCACGTAGCAGATTCCATTATTCACCAAGATCTCATATCAGTAATTCAAACATTCTTAATTTTTAAAAGGAATGTGGATTTATAAATAAAATTTTTTGGTATGACTGTTGTCATGTCGACAGAGAAATGAATACTTTTTGAGCGCAATCAGGCGGAAATCAAGTTATATGTGTTATCAATTTGTCAGTTCATCACGATGATTCAGAGCTACAAGGAGCTTTAAATAAAATTGTTCAGCGACTAATTATGAGCGTTTCTCATTCTGCAGAACGAATTCGACCAGTTCTTCCAGCATGTTAATCAGCAGAAGCCTAGAACACATCACTTTTCTTCATAAATATTCATAGCAAGTTTTTTCGACAAGATAAAAATAATGAAACAGTGAATGTTAGAGTGAAACAATAAGGAAATTTTTCTAAATGAAGTGTAAAGGAATTAAATATAATGATTAAGAAATCTAAAATTAGCTCACATCTAAAATTTCTTCAAATCTTGTTATATTCATTTTCAAAGCAATTTTAAGCTTAAAGAGCTATAAAAAATAAGATTCATGTACAGAATGTTTGGAAATGTTCACCTTTCCTATTTTGACCTGCAAATAAAATGATATGAACAAGTGAAAAATAAAAAACTACAAGAAATGGAAAAATTAGCAAGAAGCATGCAATAACATGGAAGGTAATTCAAGCAATTAATACGACTATTTCATAAACAACAATAGCAAAATGGCATGTAGTACATAAACACTTTGTGAATTGAAAAGAAATTACAGCGAGATTATACAGATTAAATAACCTCATCAAAAGCAGTGAATGAAATTAACAAAAAAACACACAGGAAACAAAGCAAGAAAAAATAAATAAATAAAACAACAAAAAAAAAGCATACAATTATTTTGGGATAACATAAAAAAAGACCATAAAAAATATAACATAAAATAACATAAAAAAAGAAAAAAAGATAAAAAAAAAGTTAACCAAAATCATTTGATAATAGAAAGGAAAATACGTACAGAAACAGAAACAATAAAAAAATCATGCATTAATTAAAATAAGCTTAAAGTTATGCAAAAGTAATATAACAAATAAGATTCTAAACTACAATAATTTAAAAGTAGTATCCAAATAGCAAGTAACAGGAATAAGTTAAGTAAAAGAAGAAAAAAAAAACGATTAGTAAAACTACAAAAAAAAGTTCGGAAGAAATACAATGAATCATTACATGCAGTCTCATTTGTGTTGTTCTTGTAAGTTTTTTTCAGTTATTTTCTTTTTTTCAAGACTTATAAAGCTGAAAAGTTCATAGACAATGAATTAAATAAGCTGTTATAAAATATTTTCTGCAAAATATGGAAATTTTCATATGAAAAAATGGATAACATTTGATTAGCGAGGCAGTTTAACCATTTGCTGAGAAGTAGGCATGCAGTAAACAGGGAGACTTTCTTGATATCAGTGATGATTAAACAACATTCGCAAACAATTGAGATGACCATTTTTCTTTTAATTAGAAGTTGAAACTTAGAAGTGCTCTGCTAGCCAACGGTTAGTAGTGTTATGAAAAAACTATTGGTTCTTCAATCAGTTATGTACCACTGTGAATAACGGATAAATAATGGATCCCCCAAATTACACCTACTACCGTTTAACAGGCGAGACACGTACCAGACATTCGTGATTAGTTAATATCCTTACCAGGAATACTATCCGCATACCAAAACGTCACTTTTTTGAAGCATAAAAAGTCACTCTTTACAGGGCACTATTCGCGCTTTTATCACAGGAAGGGACGGTAATAAACATATCCCACATTACTGCCGGAACCCATTTTTCTAATATCAGTAGAACCCGCAACCGATCAATATGAAGTTTACTGGACATTCGCAGTGGACGATGTTAGCCAGTGTGTTGGTGGTTGCAGGTTCTATATGTGGACACGGACACCATTTTTATTGATTGAAAAAAAGCAAAACAACAAAAGAAAATCAAACAAATTTCCATTAACAATATCTGACGAGAAACATAAGTGCATAGTTTTGCTTTCATTTTTCTAAAAGTTTGCTAGTTGACATCCATCTGTTGATTACTAAGGCTAATAATTATCTTTGAATTTAAGTTCACACAATAATTGAGATACCTTCTAACGAATTAAAACTAAGAAAAGCCAAAAAAGAAATTTCAATCTAAAACATAATCACAGTGATAGATAACTGATTGAAGAACCAATAGTTTTTTCATAACACTACTAACCGCTGGCTAGCAGAGCACTTCTAAGTTTCTACTTCTAATTAAAAGAAAAATGGTCATCTCAATTGTTTGCGAATGTTGTTTAATCATCACTGATATCAAGAAAGTCTCCCTGTTTACTGCATGCCTAGCTTCTCAGCAAATGGTTAAACTGCCTCGCTAATTAAATGTTATCCATTTTTTCATATGAAAATTTCCATATTTTGCAGAA